GGATTGCAAGCCCATGCCATCACACTCAGCTTTTTATGTGGGCTCTGGGGATCAAACTCAGGTCTTTGTTTTTCTTATTAAGCCATCCTTTCAACTCCAGTGCTTTTCTTTCCCACTTTTCTCTTTATAACACCAATTGGCTAGTCTGGCTGGTGAGTGGGATCCTGGAATCATTCTTTCTCTACCTCCCGCTGCTGGGATTACAGGTGTAATCTGAATTTTGAGGTGGATATTGGGAATCTAAACTTGGATCCTCATGCTTGTGCAGTTAGCACTTTTCGCACTGAGCCATCTTCACAGCCCTTTCCCCCACCTTTTTCTTCAATGGACCGTTGTTGAATCTCTTGTCTGTGTACTGTAGACACTCCTGCCTCAGATGGGGTGGGGATTGGACTAGCTCTCACATTTACTTGGATTCTGGAATTTGTGCTTCAAATACTTGAACTTTTTAGGTCCTGTCTGTTTGAATGTTAGAAATCCACAGTGTGTGAGTGTGTGTGTGTGTGTGTGTGTGTGTGTGTGTGTGTGTGTGCAGGTATACAGGGGTGGGACTCTGGAGGACAGTGATAGAGAAGATGCTGTCGTGCTCTTGGCCAGATACATTGGTTAGAGAGCAATAGACCACTTCAGATTATGTTTGATATCTGTAAATTGGCTGGCTTCTCATAGACCTCTCTTGCTTTGAGAGAGACTGAGAATTCCATCACTAAAAGTATTCAAGCAGAAGCTATGGGATATGTGGAAGGAAGTCTGGAGGAAGTCTGACTGGATTTGCTGGCCAAGAAGGTCCCTTCTGGTGGTGGACTTTCATAATTGTGGGATGCCACAGTATAGCTTTTCAAAGCATCACACCACTGTGGTGGCTCAGCATAACCTTGCTGCATCTTCAATCTTGTAAAGGGAAAAGACCTGAGTTCCATCTGGACTGTAGAATCAACTCAGGAATGACCAGAAATTTACTCAAGAGTAAGGATTTGAATGAAAGGAGGTAGACATAAAATCTTTGTTCTCATACATAATAAGGGGTGCAATGTGGAGACAATTTAGTTCAGAACTCAGACTTGTAGCCCTGAACTCTCTCACGTGGAGACAGGAACTTCCTATTAGCTTCCCAACAATCTGTCACCCCTGTCCTCCCCTGCACCAGGCACTGTTGATAAACTCCTACTGTGGGGGCAGGGTGCAGGCCCAATGGAATTGTAATTTCAGATTTAAGAGAAGCCACCCAAAATACAGCACTAAAATGGGCCTTGGAAGAGAAAGGAGGGATGTTCCCCAGTATGAGTTAAAGGAGACAGGAATAAAGCTCATTGGAGCTCAAGAAATGCTTGTAGTTGATTTTTTTTAATGCTTTAGAAATACAATGAACAAATAAATACTCTGGTTCCAGAGAAATATGCTAAAAAAGAGACTACAAAAGATTTTATTGAAACCAGGTTGGAAACAATCCCACCTCCCCCAGAGGGCAGGTTTAGGGGAAGAGATGCAGGGCAGCTCACCCTTACAGCATATTGGCAGTTGCAGAGGAGCCCAGGAGAAAGCATCACCTCAGTGGGTAAGAATGGGGGGAGGGAATGATGGGGACAAATGGATGACCCTGGAACCAGATATCCTTCAGATTGCAGTGGCAGGGTATCTGAGGACTAATCGGAGATTGGAAGTCAAATCCTCTGGTACTATTAAGATCCTACCCTGCTTCCTTCTATGAAGTGAAGGTTCTAGAAAAGAGCCATACCTTTATTTAAATTCTCCAAGGCTGAGTGACCAATTAGAACTTTGTGGTTGTGGAGAGTTGGAATGTTACAGATCCAAATTAACTTGGGCTGTCTTTAGCCTTTTAACAGTCATTCACTGCCTATCAGAAGAAAGTGATGAGGAGATATGGGAGGAGTTGGAGGGGAGGGAGTGGGCATAGATTTGATTAAAACACCTTATATGCATGTATGAAATTCTCAATAAATTATTTATTTAAAATAATAGCCATTCACTGTCCTCCAGTGCCTGACCTAACATCCTTTCAACTATCAGGCAAAACCTTTTCAGTGTGATAAGATCACTAGATCCTACCAACCACAAAGCTAAGAATGTCATTATATAGCATCTGAGACCTATGATCTGTGGATTTCCCTCTGCTGTAACCTCCCTGCTTCAACCTATTTGGGGAATGCCTTGATTGATGTATTCCTGGGTTGTGGTCACTTACACCATGACTCAGAATAAATTAAATTATCTCTTATTTCCTTTGAGGTGAGAGATGTGTTTTGTGCCAACACTTTTTAAAAAGTGTGTGTGTGTGTGTGTGTGTGTGTGTGTGTGGTGTATGTGCACATATATGTGTTTAATACACATGTGGAGGCCAGAGGAGGACCTTGGGTATCCTGTCTATCACTCTCTGCTTTTCCCCTTTGGGTCAGGGCTTCTCACTGAACCTGGAGCCAGGCTGGCAGCCAGCAAGGCCCAGAGATCTTCCTGTCTCGGCCCCCAATAGTGCTAGGTGTGATGGTTTGAATGAGTGTCTCCCATAGGCTCCAAGTATTTGAACACTTGGTCCCCAGTTTGTGGTGCTGTTTGAGGATGGTCATGGAACCTTTTGGAGGTGTGGCCATGCTAGAGGAAGTACATCACTGTGGTGGGCTTTGAGAAGTCAATGCCATGCCCACTTCCAGTCTGTCTCAGCTCTGCTTCCTGTGCCTGCTTGAAGATGTGAGCACTTAGCTTTCTGCTCCAGCCACCTGTTGCCACCACACCTACCTCACCATTATGGACTTTCCCTCTGGAGTCATAAGCTACATAAAATCTTTCTTCTATAAGTGGTGTTGTCCATGGTGTTTTATCACAGCAGCAGAAAACTAGCTAATACACTGGCTTTATAGACATGCACTCAGTCTCACCTGGCTTTTTATGTGAGTGCTGGGATCTGAACTGAGGTCTTCATGCTGTGTAGCAAGTATGTCAAATGACCCTGATTATGTCTTTTCTAGCTCTTAGAACTTCAATTTTCTTGTTTACTTATTTTTAAAATATACCTTCTCCTCCATGAAAATAGGGGCTGTATCATTCTTGTCCCTCCTGGTGTCCATAGCACTTAGAACTGTGCCGGGCATAAAGAGGTCCTCAGTAAGTATGTGTTGAATAAATGGGCAACATTCAGTAGGGTCATATTCAGGAAGCTATTTGGAGGTGGCAGTCCTATGTTGTTCCCATTCCTGGACAAATGGGTCTCTCCATGTCCTTGCACATGGTGGAATATGTTGCATCTCTGGGGTATAGGCCTGACTCTGTGATGACTGGCAAGTCTCCTAACACAGCCTTGGTTTACCCATTTATAAAGTAAGGGGTTTGACCTAGATGACCTCTAAGGGCTCTGTAGACATTCAGAGTCATGCTTCTGTGGACTCAGGAACCAGTAGAGGCAAATAAGAATAGTGGGATTGGAGCCAGAGAGATGGCACAGTGGGTAGAGGCACTTGCTGCCAAGCCAGACTACCTGGGTTTGATCCCTGGGACCAGATGGTGGAAAGAGAAGACCAACTCCTGAAAATTGTCCTCTGATCTCCATGTTCATGCTGTGGCACATACACACTCACACACTTAAAATAAATAAAAATTGTAATAAAATGAATTGGGATGTTAAATCTTTAATTTAATAGAATTTAAATTTACTTTAAATTTAAGATGAAATTTATGAAGAAAATCTTGGAATTATTTTTAAGTCTAGTGCTACCCAGGTTAATAGATTTACTTTTGTGTTTCTTGAGTGCTCATTTCTCTTTTCAAAGTTCATTATTCATATTCAAATAGATGCTATTTATTTGTTTATTTATTGATTGAGGCAGACTGTGTAGTCAAGAATGACCTCCTCCTGCCTCTACCTTCTGAGCACTGGCGTGCACCACCACACTTGGTTTATGTGGTGTTGGAGCTCAAACCCAAGTTTTCCTGCACATTAGGCAAGTACTTTATCAACTGAGCTAAATCCCTGTCCTGTTTCTGCTGTAACCAAAGCTCCTGCTGCAGTATGGGAGGAGGGTGACTCTTGGGGCAGCCCAGCTGTCAGAAGTACCTTTACTCCCCACTGTTTATGTTGAAGAGAGAAGTTTTGGTAGAGTAATTCTGTGACCTTTCCCTCTGTTTTATACCCATCCCTTCCCAGGCAGGGAGAGTGGTCCCAGTTGGGGTGTGTTGTACTCATAGATCCAAGTGTGTTGACTGGATAAGGCTAAGCACTGGGGATACCATTTCTTTCATTAATTCTTTCCTTGGCTCAATCAAGGCAGATATTCTGGAAAGCACGCTGCATCCTTCCCCTTCTCTTGGATGGCTCTGCCAGGGTAGGGATGGGTGGTATGATTGGAGTGAATACGAGGCCATCATCATATCAGACACATATTCCATGCATATTCTTGACTTCTGAAGACCCCAACACTTGGAGCTTAGGACCAAGGATTGACATGAGCCTCCCACAGACCAAATGGAACCTTTGTGGGAAAGTCAGATTTATTAACCTTGGGTTTTTATGAAAACATAGAAAATATTTTTTTTGCACAACTGCCTGTAACTCCAACTCTAGAGGATCAGACACCTTCTTCTGGCCTCTCAGAATCCCTGCACACATGCAGCATATACTCACACAGACATGCAAGCATACAAATAAAAGTAAGGCAAATCTTTAAAAAAGAAAAAAAATTCTAAAAGCAATGGATTTGCAACACACCAGCAGTTTAACTATTCTGTCCTAAATTCTAGAAAGTGGAGTGCAGAGGGAGGAGCCGGAGAGGACATGGTGTCTAGAGCACTGCCATGTGTACCAATTCAGGATGGTTCAGTGTGATATTCTGGTCAGAGTGTCCCAGCATGGATGCCTGATGTGCCTCACCCTGCTCCTCACCCAAAGAGGCCACTTCTCTGCTCTCTTCTGGGGGAAACAGTGGTAGTGGTAGACTCTTTTTAGACTATGCCTCTCTCATGTCTTATTGTGACCAAGTGACCTTGCCTTACAGACCACAGCAGAGAAGTCTCCTGGAGCCTACTTCCTTCCTGAGTTTGCACTTTCTCCTCAGGGAAGCTTCCTTGAAGATACCACAGGGGAGCAGTTCCTCACATATCGCTATGATGACCAGGTAAGAACACTGCAAAAAGACTTATTTTAGGCTCTACCATGTGGCAGCAGGGAATGACATCTCAGAAATGGTTTTAATGGAACTGGGGAGATGGCTCAATGGGAAAGAGTGCTTGCTTGCTGTGCAAACGTGAGGACCTGAGTTTGGATCGCCAGCATTCACATAAAAAGCTGAATGTGGTTACATGCGCCTGTAACCCCAGTCATTTGGGGCTGGTCACCAATAAGACTGTATTCTGCCTTTCTCAACTATGGTTTTTAGAGGATCTATAATTAACGGCTCCTTTCAATCCTGAAATCAGACTCCAACAGGTTTTCATATGAGAACATCAGAGAAACTAATTGAGAAGCAGTAAAGACTAAAACAGTTGTCTGGAAAATAGCTATGTATCTTATAATTAAAGAGTGCCTAATGCCTTCTTCAGGTTCCGCAGATACATTATACTTAATAAAATAAGAGTATAAAAGCTAGAAAAAGAAGGCGACTAGCTCTTGTTAATTTTTTTCAAATGTTCTATAGCAGATCCTAAAAGTGTGTGGCAAGCTGTGGAAATTTTATTCTAGGATGTGTTCCAGAAAGCCCCAGTGAATAGCATGTAAAATACTTTGTGTTGCCTTCATGGCATGTGCTTCTTTTAAGGGAAAGGAGCAAGGTCAAAAACAACAAGCCAATAAAGGCATGAACCCTGCTGTCACGGAAAACAGGCTCTTGTGGTAAACTAGTTGCATCTTCCCAATGAATGTCAAAATTTAATCCTGGCCACGCTAGTCTATCCCGAGCTCGCATTCTTCTAAACAAGCTGGTTATACTATAATGTCCAGGAACTTTTCAGGCACTTCAGGAAGGATGGAGCCATCACACATGATAAAACTCAAAACAGACAAACCCAAACCTTTATCCTACAGCCATGTAACAACACATTAAAATCAATTGAGAATGAAATTTCGGGAGTCAGACTGCTTTAAGTTCATGTTTGAATGCCTGTTTTGCCAATTTGCTTATGTGACTTTGGACAAGTCTTTTCTCTGCTCCAAAGTCACCTGTGGGGGGGAAACATCAATGGTATCTGCTTTGTGGAGGTGGTCTGAGGGCTTAAAAGTGATCATGTATGCATTTTTCCTTGCATAGTCTAAACAGTTTAGTAATTGCTGTTGGTAGTAATATTACTTATAAACATGCAATTCAGAGAATCTCAGCCATGCCTATGCTAAAGGAAAGAAAGAAGCATATTTTCTTACACCAGGGGACTACTCATCACATTTTGAATTAAGTTTTATGGGGACTAGAGAGATAACTCAGTGGTTAAGAGCTCTTGATGCTCTTGCAGGGGACCTCAGTTCCCCCTCTGGGCTGCTCACAACTACCTGTAACTCTAGCTCTAGGGGTCCAATGTCCTCTCTGAACTCTGAGGGCACCTGCACTCAAATGAGCACATACCACCCCCATGTGCACATAATTAAAAGTAAAAATAAATCTTAAGAGTTTTTGAGGACTGTTCTACATATAGTAAAATAAAGACATATCTGAATTATAGAACTTGATCAAATTTTAATGTTTTTCTACCTGTGGAACTGCTACCAAGATCAAGAAATAGAAAACTTGGAGCACCCTTAGGCAGTGTCTCTGCTCCTTTTTCTGATCAGTATGCACTATCCTAGACGAACAAATGCCCCTGACTTTTGTCCTTCTTGCAGACTGGCTTTGCCTACTGTCCGTTTGGTTTTATGTAGATGGAATCATCCAGCACATGCTCACCTGTGCTTGGCTTTTTCATACATCTCTGAGATTTGAATGAGTCCTTGGAGCTGATCTGACGCCAGGTTTAGTGTCCCAACTATCAGTTGAACCACAAGAACAGATTTCCTCACATTGAGACGAACTGCAGCACCGTGGGTGGCACTGGGTGGCATTCCACATGGCTCCTGCATAGAAATTTTCAGAGTGTTTGCAGGGAAGTCGCTTCAAACATTCCACACCTGAGGAAGAGGTGAGGTGATGCTGCAGCCTAGTCTTTTTATCTGACAGCCGAAAAGAGGTGCGATGTCTGTGGGCATTATCCTCCGTGGAGCTTGGTGCTGCCGGGTGCCTTGAGTATTTGCCTGCCGAGTCTGTGGGTGTGTGCTAGAGGTGGTTTACTGTCACAGTGGCCTGAAGCCAGATTGACAAAGTACCTGTGTAATTGAGGCTACAATCTGGGTTGTTGGGACAGGTGTGAGTTCACTAGGCTCTTCCTCCCTACGAAAGACTCATTTGACAAAATAGGAAGCAGGTGGAAAGTGTGTAGACATTGGATTTCTTGAACAACTCCCACAGGTCTCTTGAAAGAATTTAATCCTGGCACATTTTCATGAAGACCCTTCGGTCACTCTTCAAATATCTCCTGGATTAGGGGCCTGGAAAGCTAATAGCCCCTAGGCCTGTAAAGTGCAGCTGTGATGTAGGCTGTTTAATGAGACACATAAAAACTGCGCTGTGGATTATTTGGAAGTGGAAGCAGCATCTACTGAGAGAGCAGCCTGAAGGCAGCCGGCTGTCTAGCCCGTGGGTGCAAACAGGACTGGTCAGCCAGCCTTAGTGTTGCTCCCACCTCTAATGGGCTTGTAATTTAACAAGGTGATTTGACATCTGGGCCCTCAGATCCTTGATAGTTATGAAACATTTTGTACATATGTGCCACATCTTTCTTTTGGTATTTGTTAGGGGCGGAGAAATGTAGAAGGCATTTCATCCAGTCCTGGCGGACTGTTGCAATGCACTTCCTTCTTTTCTGTAGTCACAGTGACAGAGCAGGCAAAGCACAGCCTCGGGTGACTTAGAAATTCTGCCTCATGTGTTTTTCTATGGCAACCGCTTCTTTCTTCTATTCATTTTTAAGCCTTAAATCTAACTTCTAGGATCTCCTCTAGCCTTCTTCCTCCTGACCCTAAACAGCCATCTCTTAAGTTTTCAATTTCAGTTATTTCCCTGAAGTCACATCCTGGCTCTGGGCACGTGATTCTACACTTGCAAAACCTTGTGTTTGTGACATCCATGTGCACGATGGCATCATAGACAGCATCCCAACCCACCCTTCTCTTTCCTTCCCTGGATGTCATTGGCTGCCTGTTTGTGTAATGTCTTGTTTTAAATTGTCCCACCAGTTTGTATTTCCTATATTTCCATTCTTGGGGATGCAGAAGGCTGGATGTGTGACCCTGATAGGCCCCTGGAAACAGCTTATCAGAACTGAAAGGAAGCACAGTGACCTGGGACTTCAGGTGAGGAATCTGAGCTCCAGAGAAGACTGGTGTCCTAACCAGGATTCTGAGAACAAAGCCAAGTGCCTGTTCTCTGCCCTTAAGCTCAGTCAAGATATTAAAAAAAATCTAATCTGTGGGCAGGAAAAGTATGAGACAAATGTTTGAATGAATTTTTAAAACTAGTAATAACATCAATATATTAATAATGAAGTCTTTGTGTTGTCTTACTCCTAAACTTATTTTAAATGTCATTTTTCTTACGCTGTTATGCCAGACCTAATTTTCCTGTTCCTTATTTAACTATTGATTTATGCATTCTTTCTAAGGAGATGAAGACTGTTTGCTGTGAGTGCATCTTTCTCAGAGTAACTTCTTCCCAAATTTTCATGGATATCTTGGCCAGGCACTTCATTGTGGTTAAACTGTTGGCAGGCCTCAAAACAATCATTTGAGATTTCCAAGTTATTTATGTAATAGTTTTTAGCTTGGACAGCGTATAGCAACTTCTGAAATTTCTGGTAAAGGAAGATGGACCCGGCCTTCAGGTCTGTGGAGTTTTGTCATCTTTTTTGCTGATCAAAGTAAGCCACTTACATGTTCTCCACTTAGGAGAGTTTCCATGCCATTCCTGGCTTGCATATGTTATGTTTTTAAGCAGAAAGCCATTTGAGTTTGAATAGCTCATTCTTTTGTTAGTGAGTAATCTTGGTCAAATGTGGCTATGCTCCTTCAATATTCCAAAGATTTAGCGATCTAATAAGAAAACAAGCTTATGTCTGCTAAGAGACGAGAGCATACTAATTGGAATAATGTTCTATCCCAACTCAGGTACACAGCACATACACAGCCTTGCATGTGCAACGTGCTGATGTGATTTATTTGGCTCATGTGAACTCTGAATTTCATTATCTTTGAGCTATTTCACAAACTACTTTTTCTCAAGGATCAAGAAGTTAGTCTGTTAGCCAAAGTTCAATATCCAGCTTTTGAAAGCTACATAGACATTGTTCTTTATTTTTTTTTCATTTTGGGGGAGCTGTGCTATTTTTCACATTTTTGCCATACAGGTTATATGGTAGATATAATGTAGTGACATTGAAGATAATTTCAAATGAAGCTTTCCCCTAAAAGTCTCTCACTGCCATTAGAGATACTGAGATAGGGCCTTCTAGAGAGGGATGCTGCCCTTCCTCCCTCCCCCTTCTTGGAGCTGACCAGTCCCTACTCAAAGATTCTAAAATTTTTCTAACACTTTGAGACTAGGTCATTGAACAGCTCCATCACTCATAATCTTGGATTAGCATGTCCTCTCTTCTGCACCATCTTCTCTCTTTAAGTCTCTTCATACCTTGCTCTGAGTCCTCCTGTTTTACTCCTTGATGCTGACCTTACATCCCCAATACCTTCCACTGCCCTCTCATGATAAATGCATTCAGGTCCCAATTTCCTACTTTCTGCTTCAGGCCCTGCCTGGGCTCACCTCCTATGGAGACGTCTCATGCCTCAGTCACCAGGCATCATGAAGCTACAGTGGGAGATTGACCCTCTGTCAGTCTTTGCTGCTGTCCCCCTTCTCTCAGTGCTTCTCCTTGGAGACTAGTGTCATTCATCTAGAGCGCAGACCTGAGCATTCACCAATGTGTTTATGAGCTACTCACCACATAATCTCTCTTCCCTACAGTCCTGCCATGATGCTGAGACTGTTCTGGGATTGTAGAGAACCCAAACTTGCCTCTACACCCATCCTTTCTGGTTCTTTCC